CACCTGTCTTCACAGAGTTCTGACCACAGACGGCGTAGGCCCGCAGCAGAACCACGTCAATGTCTGACAACACGCAAAGTCAGGGTAACACAGAGTGTGATCACCACAGTCAGGGTTGGGGCCCAGGTGCTGTGGGTGCACCTGGTCTGGAGGACCCACTGTGAGACCCCTGCTGTCAAGGAGACCAGGGCAGGGACAGGAGTAAAGGACACACTGTCCAGCTGAGGAGATCTTAACTCTTAGATGCCCTGAGCCTCGGTAGTGCAGCTCCGTATGTAGAGATGCCCATCTGAACAGAGTGCACTGTTCAGCCAGAAGGACGAAATGATTTTCTATTGTATCTTTTCAATTCTTAGCTTTTAAATTGTAATTTAAAGCCTATGTCCTAATATGAAAAGAAGAGTAACAATATTTTACAGTATTGTTGTCTTTAACAAACATTGTAAGTATTGTGACTTTTTACAAAAGAAGTTTTAGTAGATCATCAGAATCTGTCAAACAAATAAAAGTCATAATTCTCTTAAGTCTTACTCCAATCATGTCAGACACAGTAAAGAAAATGTCAAGTACTGAACTATTTCCTAAATTACATTAAATCATATCACTTAATACAGAACTTGTCACATTCAAATGTAATAAAACATTTAATTTTTATCTTGAAAGAAATGGGATAGTACTGGACCCACAATTTTTGGTAAAACTCATTGGGAAATAAATGTCAGAAACTATTTTACGGATCTTGTCTTGGTGAAGATCAGCCTGGTCTCAGCGGAGTCTCATCAGACACCCGGACACATCTCGAGACACTCTCTGGGGTATAATATAAATGTGCTTTGCAAAACATACTTTCATCCTCGGAAAGAAGTTTAATCAATTTGTTTTCAATATCACTGTTTTTGAAATACTTTTTGGCAAATTACAAAAAGTATTTCAAAAACAGTGATATTTTAGAGGCTGTATATCTCACTTCCAAGTGTAACACACAAACCTTCATTTAATACATTAATGAAGATTGTCTACACCCTAAACTCACCGTAATGAAGAAGTCATCCGGCCCTGGTGCTGTGCCAAGCGTGCAAACACTGAGTAGAGCTCAGTGAGCCAAAGAAGAGAAAGACTTGCTATCAAGAATGAAAAATCTATGACCTCGCGAAAAACACCATCCCTTGGTCCTACTCAAGGGAAATGTTCACATAATAAAGCCCATTGAATTTTTTATCTTTCAATATGGTCTTAATGTAAGCCACATTATTATACAATTATAAAAAATATTTCTTCATTTTTTCAAGTGTTTATGCCCAAATTCACCCAGATGGTTTACAGGCCAGGTATGCCGATTAACACCACATACGACCCGCTCGATTACCCCACTCCAGGCCCTAACCAACTCTTGGTAGGGTGACTACACAATAACGTATGTGGCATCCCTACTTCTGTTAACTCGTTTTGCAGTGTTACCAGTCAGCTACTCCAAAAGCAGCTTTTTACATAAAAAAGTTCTCTTAAAGTAACAGTAACAAAAACAACTAAAGTTTAGAGGGTGCTTGCTCTAAGGTGCCAAGCACTTTACCTATGAGTCAATTTAATTTCCATATGAATCCCTTAGAGTAGGTACCATTATTATCCTTATTTGACAAGTAAGAAAACTAAGTTTAGGGGCACCTGGGAGGCTCAGTGGGTTAAGCACCCGACTCTTGATTTCGGCTCAGGTCATGGTCTCATGGTTTGAGGGATGGAGCCCCCCATGATGCGGAGCCTGCTTGGGAGTCTCTGTCTCCCTCTCTCTCTGCTTCTGCCCTGCTGGCATGCGCGCACATGCCGTCTCTCCCTCTCTCTCAAAAGAATGAAATCATGCCATTTACAACAACGTGGATGGAACTGGAAAGTATTATGCTAAGTGAAAGAAGTCAGTCAGAGAAAGACAGATAACATGTTTTCACTCATATGTGGAATTTGAGAAACTTAACAGAAGACAACGGGGTAAGGGAAGGGGAAAAAATGGTGTCAAATAGAGGGCGAGGCAAACCATAAGAGACTCTTAAAGACAGAGAACAAACAGGGTTGCAGGGGGGTAGGGTGGGTTGGGGGATGGGCTAGATGGGGGATGGGCACTGAGGAGGGGACTTGTTGGGATGAGCACTGGGTGTTGTACGTAAGTGATGAACCGTGGGAAATCTACTCTCAAAACAAAGAGCTCACTATAAACTCTGTAGGTTAGCTAACTAGACAATAAACTATATTAGAAAATCATAATAAACTTAAAAAAAAAAGTTTAGAGAGGTTTACGTGACTTGCCCACAGTCACACAGCTCCTAAGTGGCAGACAGACCTATTCCACAGGCCACATTCTTAGCCATTCTGTGTCATTATTTCTACATAAAAATACTCTTATTGCCTACAGATTTTAATCCCAACACCTTTTCTTTGGCTTTTTAAAAGCCTGAAGATCTGACCTAAGCTTAATTCTCTACACTCCGTTGTACACGAGTCCCCCTGAACTCTGTTCTCTACTGTACAAGCGGTGTTCTGCCATCAGTGTTACTCTCCTCCTACACCTAATTCCACTGTAATTAAATGTAATACCATACATCTTGCCCTTAGGCAGCATGTAGTTGGATTTTAAAGAAATACACTCTCAGGAAGATTAAAGTGTTGATAAATTTACATCTTTTACATTTATATGGAAGGGAGACCTGCCTGGGTTCATCTTGACTGTACAACTACTGGTATAATAATTAAGCCATTTAATACCTCTGTGTCTCTGGTTAGGTCACTTAACACATTCTGCCTCAGGATCCTCACACTAGAATAATGTTAACAGTAGCACCACCTTGTATTGTTAATGTGGTGATTAATGAGCTAATTAACGGAAAGTTCTTCAAAGCTCTTAGAATCCTGTGTTTCCTTGAAATGGTAAGAAGCTTTCATGATAGGTGACGTATCTACTTTAAATTAAAAATCAATTAGATACAACTTCTAGTGTAACATACTATAGCATTTTGATTATGATTGACTCAAGTAGTTGTAGCAACGCCATCTTGTATGTTCAAATAGACCAGACTTTAAGTTGAGCATCAGGGTTTTCCCTATGTTAAGGGTAAACAGTGTCAGGGCATGGGGGGAGAATCAGACTCTTTTCTAAGTTCCTATAGAACCCAGGGACATCTTCTCCAGATGCCAAGTTCTGCAGGGTTCATTTTCTCCAAGTCACTAAAATAAACCTATGGCAGATACTCCAATCATTTTGTTTCTCCCCATGGATCTGTAATACATGGATTTTACTGACATGTGTACATGTCTGTACGTACACACATACATACATGTCACACACATGCTAATTATTCAGCAAGAGACATGATTTCCCTTTCTTCTGCTAAAAGTACCTTGATTTTTTCACCAGATAACCATCCCTCCCTTACTTGCAGTATACACATTAACAGATGAAGCTGAATCTATCTCCAGCTGCTGGGACAGGCATTCAGGCGAAGCCCTAGCCAATGAGAGCTTTGCAAATCCTGCCCAGAGAACGACCAAGGGACTACACAAGCCAATCATTTTGGATTACAGCTAATCCCAAGATTTTTGCTTGAGTTACCGGGAAAAAGGTTTCTTTTCTGTTGGACTTGGAGCTCAGAGGATAACAAGACTCAGACTGCCAGGATACCACCATGTACAGAGAACCTGCCCCAAAGTGAATTCAACACACATACATGCATATATATACATACACACACACACACACATAGACACATGCATACATATATACACATCCACTCATACATACACACATACATATATACGCACATACATATAAATGTACACATGCATACATACACACATATATGCACATCCATCCACACACACATACATATATACACATATACATACACATGCATACACACGTACATATATACACACACATACATACATACACATGCATACATAATACACACATACATACACATATACACACATATATACACATATACATACACACGCATGCATACACACATATATACACATCCATCCATCCATGCACACACACATATACATACACATGCATACATGCACACATACATATATATGTATGCATGAATACATATACACACATCATATATACACACACATACATATATACACATCCATCTATATGTACACACATACATATATGCATACACATACATACATATATACACATCCACCCATATGTAGACACGTACATATATACACACACATACATATATACACACATACACACCCATCCATACTTACACACATACATATATACACACACATGCACACATACATATATACACACATGCATATATACACATCCATCCATACGTATACACATACATATATACACACATATATACACACATGTGCATACACACCTACATGTATACACACATATGCATACATACACATATGTATATACACACACATATACGTATATACACACATACATACACATCTATCCATATGTACACGCACATGTACATATATACACACCCACCCATCCATACACACATACATATATATATATATATACATACATATACACATACACACATATATACACATACATATATATACACACATACACGTTCATATATACACATCCATACACACACACACACACACATATACAAACATACACACCTATATGCATATATACACATACACACATATATACACAAACACATGCACACATATACATGTGTGTATGTCTATGCACTCACATACAACGTGCCTAGACAGGTAGATAAACAACACAAGCTAAGATCCTAGTGACAATTTGAAGCCCCTGCCTCAAGGTGACTTCATGTTGGCCCCCCTGAGATCCTCCACTTATATCAGCCAATGAATTCCTACCTGGCTTAAGCTAGCTTGACTTGGATTTTCTATTACTATTAACTGTAAGACTTGACAAATGTATACATAATGGAACAGTCACTTTTTATAAGGGAATAAAAACACGTGTCCTTAATTGGGCTTACCTTTTGGTTTAGTAAAGCGCTGGCCAATTTCTGTACTTCTGAACTCAGTAAGGTAGCCCCTCTGATGACTTTGCTGAGAGCGGCAAGAGACTGGTGGACGGTCTGCACTAAGCGAATGGCATTGAACTGTTCCAGGACGATGAAGGACAGTACTGGAGACCCTTGTCGATCGTTAGGAGGACACACCTTCTGATGAATCAGGTTGGAGTTCTAAAAGAACAGTATGCCATGTCATCCTTCTGGAAACGTGGCATAAACTACTGACACCATAACACTTCACAAGGTACTAAGATCCTCTGTGGTCCCACTCAGTTTTGAAACCCTGGTGTCTTAAGGTGGCCGCATGTGTTACATGTGGAACCACACAGGAAAGGGGTAGGCAGGGGTCTGGGGGAGCCACACGAAGCAGCAGTGGTCTGCACAGGAGCAAGAATGGGGATCGATGGCCCCTCTGAGCCAATGCAGACAGCACAGTACAGCTACACTGTGAATACACAGAGAAGACATCACGCTTTCAGACAAATGTCAATGGATATTTAATTCAAATACGTATGAGCTAAAATCACCATGAATAAATTACAACATCCAAACAGCATAATTTGTGGTGAAACTACTGAGGGATTACAGTCGTATCTTTAGTCAGCTGATTATTTTAGGGAAAGCCTTTTTCTAATGACTAAATACATTTGAGTAAATTGTGTTCCTTTGAAGAATGGCTTTGACATTTTAAAGTTCATCTTGTCATTAAAAAGCTAAGTGTATTCAGAGAAAATCATTATGTGATTATGGAGCTGCTGGGGGAAATGGTTATGGATACTTTAAATCTTAACTATGAAGCAAGGATTATCTTTTAGACAAGGAAACCTACCCTAACTGGGCACAAAATAGGTGCAAATCCAGGATTTTGTATTTTAACTGAAATAATTTTCTAACTAGGATACTATATTAGACTTAAGTAAAATGACACACGAAGTAGTATTTTGTTTTTAACAGAGATTTTAGAAGATGGTTCTCTCTCAGAGTATTTTTGTCACCCATGGAAATTCTAGCATTGACTAGGCCAAAGGTTAGCAATTTTTCCCACGAAGGTCCAGAGAGCAAACACACCAGGCTTTGTGGGTCCTAAGTTCTCTGTCATAATTACTCAAATATGCTGTTGTGGTGTTGAAGTGGCCACAGACAGCACAGAAATGAAAAGACAAGGCAGGGTTTCAATAAAACTATTTCCAGAAAATGAGGGCAGGTGTGTCCCTTGGGCAGTACTTTGCCAGGCTCTGGGGGACATTATCACTGACTCATGCATTGGTCTATGTGACATCAAGGTCCTGTGAGATACGTGACTCGATGACGCTGGTAAGACTGCGTTACCCGCGGTGTTTACAACAATGACCAACAAGTGCACAGAGGCGGTGGTTGTTCCTGGTCACATGGCCATGTCTTTGTCCAACATACTTTTTCTAGGATAAGGACGATATTGAAAGACTCAACATACAATCATTTTAAAGAGCCAAAAAACAAACTAGAAACAGACACAACAGATAGGTAGTTCTACAAAGGTTACAGAAAAGGGGGTAATATCTTCATTTCCATGCGGTAGTAAGTTCACTTTCATCCTCTGGTAATTCTTCATTCTTCTCCAGATAATTATTTCCTAAAATCTTTCTGGGGCAGAAACCACCTTTCCTGAGTCTTAGTCCCTATGATTAAGCCCAAACCAAGAGTTTACTCAACTCAAAGACAGAAATCAGTGTGTGACTTAGGGTTTCAGTTAACGGAGTGCTTCATTCTCGCGATCACGGAGAGGCTCGGGGAGAGCACACGGCTAACGAGAGACAGTCCAGGGCCACGCAGATCCCACTGGGCCTCCGGATAAGAGACAATGGTTTCTTTCCAGCAGCCGGAAACTAGGAGACCCCAAGGTAGAGAACAGGTGCAGTGGTTCTGGGACAACAGGGGGACGGCTCTTTCTGTCTCTCTCTCTCTCTCACACACACACACACACACGTAACACATATATAAGCATGTTCCTAATCAGACACACGTAGATTAACACGTACATGTAATCTACATACAAACCCATTCCTAATCAGACACACGTATGTACTGCATACATGTAATGCATATAAGTATAAATGCATTCTTAATGAGAAAGGTCCAAAGTTTGAAATTCCTGGAAGAAACTATGTCTCTCCAGAAGTGGATTTCTGACAAGATTGTGGAAGGGAAAGGGGAGGAAGGGAACAAAAAAGGAAATAAAATAGAACTAAGTTCTAAGAGGAAGTTCAAGGGCAGAAAGATCCAACAGCCCATTACCAGGTCAGAGGGCTGCTCTGTCATTTCATTTCACTGGTCAAACACAGCTTTACTAAACATGGTAACGACTGACTATTCCTAGGATCTATGCCAAGGTCCTGAATGAACCAAAGGAATCCAAACCAGCCACATGTATTTATTTATTTAGTTTTAATTTTTTTTTAAAGTTTATTTATTTTTGAGAGAGAGAGAGACAGACCATGAATGGGGGAGGGGCAGAGAGAGAGCGAGACACAGAATCCAAAGCAGGCTCCAGGCTCTGAGAGGTCAGCACAGAGCCCGACGCGAGGCTCGAACTCACAGACCGCGGGATCACGACCTGAGCTAAAGTCGGACGCTCAACTGAATGAACCACCCAGGCGCCCCCAAACCAGCCACAGTCTTTTTTTTTCAATATATGAAATTTATTGTCAAATTGGTTTCCATACAACACCCAATGCCATCCCAAAAGGTGCCCTCCTCAGTACCTATCACCCACCCTCCCCTCCCTCCCACCCCCTATCAACCTTCAGTTTGTTCTCAGTTTTTAAGAGTCTCTTATGCTTTGGCTCTCTCCCACTCTAACCTCTTTTATCTTTTTCCTTCCCCTCCCCCATGGGTTTCTGTTAAGT